ATCATCTTGTACCTTAAATGCCACACAGTAGGTCTGGCTATTTTGATATGTGTTAGGCATCTCTGATGTGTAGTCACTAAATACTAATACGCAATACTAAAACTATACAGATATTGATTAAGATTTTACGAAGAAGAAATTCAGATGAAAAAATTTTAATAAGCAAAAATACAGATTTGCTGTTGGCAATCCTGATCGCTGTAGATTTTTCACACAAGGTCATCATGCCATAGCTGATATATATTTTATTTCAATTACTCGAGGTTAACAGGGTAAGATTTTTGTGGGTAGGATCAAGGGAGGAGCATGCAGATTTGGGCTACAAAATGGTGAGTTGACAACCTGGAAGGAGCGGAATACCTAGCCCTGGTCCTCACAAGTTCCTACTTCACGCCTCCCCGAGTCATATGATAATAAAAGACTACCAGCTAAAACATGGACACAGCTGGGTGGCGTAGCCTGGGCAATGTTGCCAGTCCGGCTATAGCAAAGTGAAGAGGTGCGACGCGAACACTGGCGCGGTAACCATAGTACGGTGATAGAGGAAATGTTTCACCAAACCCGAGCGTCTGTTCACCATGGAGGTGCGGCACAAAACGGCGTCTGTTCTCCATGTTAGGAGCGGCTGATCACCGTCCTAGTGCCAGCGTGGGACTCTAAACAGGGCTGTACACGATAGTCTTCCGGCGAGACAGGGGGTTGGGGAAGGCCCAACAAGCCGCCCTGAAAAAAAAACAAAGTTGCAAATACTGAAGAAAGAAATACGAATCGGAACAATCGGCACAGACCTACGCGACGAAATAAGGACTACGATTGGAAACTCGGAACATGGAACTGCAAATCGCTCGGCTTCCTGGGCTGCGATAGGTTAATCTATGATGAACTTCAACCACGCAACTTCGAAGTTGTAGCACTGTAGGAAATTTGCTGGACGGGACAAAAGGTTTGGAAAAGCGGGCATCGAGCGGCTACTTTCTACTAGAGCTGTGGCACCACCAACGAGCTGGGAACCGGATTTGTAGTGCTGGGTAAGATGCGCCAACGCATGATTGGTTGGCAGCCGATCAACGCGAGCATGTGCAAGTTGAGGATTAAGGGCCGTTTCTTCAACTACAGTATCATCAACGTGCACTGCCCACACGAAGGGAGACCCGACGACGAGAAAGAAGCGTTCTATGCGCAGCTGGAGCAGGTGTACGACGGCTGTTTGCAACGGGACGTCAACATCGTCATCGGCGACATGAACGCTCAGGTAGGACGGGAGACAATGTATAGACCGGCAATCGCCAAACAGCCTGCATGCCGTATCGAACGACAACGGCCAACGATGCGTGAACTTTGCAGCCTCTCGAGGAATGGTAGTTCGTAGCACCTTTTTCCCCCGCAAGGATATCCACAAAGCCACCTGGAGATCACCTGACCAACACACAGAAAACCAAATCGATCACGTTCTAATCGACGGGTAATTCTTTTCCGACATTATCAACGTCCGCACGTACCGCAGTGCGAACATAGATTCGGACCACTACCTAGTTGCAGTATGCATGCGCTCAAAACTCTCGACGGTTCATAACACCCGTCGAAGTCGAACGCCGCGACCCAACATTGAGCAACTACGGGACACCGGAGTTGCCCAGGACTACGCGCAGCAGCTGGAAGTTGCACTACCCACGGAAGAGCAGCTTCTCTTGAAGATGGCTGGAGCAAAATCCGTTCCGCCATAGGTAGTACTGCTGCAGTGGCACTAGGTACTGCGATCCCGGACCGAAGAAATGACTGTTTTGACGGCGAATGCAAACTGTTAGTAGAGGAGAAGAATGCAGCACGGGCGAGAATGCTGCAACACCGCACGAGATTGAATGTGGAGCGATACAGACAAGCGTGGAACAGACAAAACTCGGTTTTCCGAAGGAAGAAGCGTCAGCAGGAAGACCGAGATCGCGAGGCGATGGAAAATCTGTATCGTGTAAACGACACACGGAAGCTCTACGAGAAGCTAAATAGTTCGCGCAAAGGCTACGTGCCGCAAGCCGATATGTGCAAGGACATGGACGGTAACCTTCTCACGAACGAGTGTGAGGTGATTGAGAGGTGGAAGCAGTACTATGACGAGCACCTCAACGGTGAAGCAGCAGAAAACGAAGGTGGCACGGCAACTTACCTTGGAGCACGCGTAGAAGACGACAGGCTACCGGCCCCTGATCTTCAAGAAGCTGATGTGGAGATCGGTCGGCTGAAGAACAACAAAGCAACTGGTGTAGATCAACTACCAAGTGAGCTATTAAAATACGGTGGTGAAGCACTGGCTAGAGTGCTGCACTGGGTAATTGCCAAGATTTGGGAGGTGGAGATATTACCGGAGGATTGGATGGAAGGACATAGGTGTCGTATGCCCAATCTACAAAAAGGGCGACAAGTTGGATTGCTGCAACTACCGCGCGATCACACTGCTGAGCGCCGCCTTCAAGGTACTCTCCCAAAATCTATGCCGCCACCTGTCACCATTTGCAAGAGGGTTCGAGGGGCAAATTTTCGCGATTCGGCAGGTTCTGCAGAAATGCCGCGAATACAACGTGCCCACACATCATTTGTTCATCGATTTCAAATCTGCATACGACACAATCGATCGAGATCAGCTATGGCAGATTATGCACGAGTACGGATTTCCGGATAAACTGACGCGATTGGTCAAGGCGACGATGGACCGAGTGATGTGCGTTGTTCGAGTATCGGGGACACTCTCGAGTGCCTTTGAATCTCGAAGGGGGTTACGGCAAAGTGGTGGACTTTCGTGTCTGCTATTCAACATCGCGTTAGAAGGTGTGATCAGAAGAGCTGGTATAGACACGAGTGGCACGATCTTCAGGAAGTCCATCCAGCTTCTTGGCTTCGCCGATGACATTGACATCATGGTACGGAACTTTGAGACGATGGCGGAAACGTACATCAGACTGAAGGCTGAAGCTAGGCGAATTGGACTTGCCATCAACGCATCAAAGACAAAATACATGAAAGGAAGAGGTTCTAGGGAAGACAATGTTAGCCTCCCACCACGAGTTCAGATTGACGGTAACGAAATCGAGGTGGTCGATGAGTTCGTGTATTTGGGCTCACTGGTGACCGCCGAAAATGATACCAGCAGAGAAATTCAAAGACGCATTATGGCAGGGTCGAATAAAATTCGCCGCCGCACGAAGTTGACTGTCTACAAGACGCTGATTAGACCGGTGGTGCTCTACGGCCACGAGACCTGGACTATACTCGTGGAGGACCAACGCGCCCTTGATGTTTTCGAACGGAAGGTGTTGCGTACCATCTACGGTGGAGTGCAGATGGATGACGGAACGTGGAGGAGGCGAATGAACTACGAATTGCACCAGCTGCTGGGAGAACCATCCATCGTCCACATTGCAAAAATTGGGCGACTACGGTGGGCTGGGCACGTCGTAAGAATGCCGCACGACGACCCAGTGAAAATGGTTCTAGAAAGCGACCCAACAGGAACAAGAAGAAGAGGCGCGCAGCGGGCAAGGTGGATCGACCAAGTAGAAGGCGACTTGCGGACCCTTCGCAGACTACGAGGTTGGCGAAGTGTGGCCATGGATCGAGTAGAGTGGAGACGACTTCTTCGGACAGCAGAGGACAACAAGGCCTTAGCCTGATTGGTAAGGTAAGGTAAGCATGGAGATGGGCTATCGTTGTCTCATTTGAGAGTTGTCACTGGCACGTTAACTTTGGTGCCAAGTAAGCAGGCTATCGATGGTGGTTGACAATGAGACTCATGAAGACTGAGGGACAAAAGAAATACAATGCAATAAGATAAGATGAAACACAAGGGGATTAATGTTTTAACTATATATTTGAAGAAATACATAAATTAGATGCATGTAGCAAAGATCGTGAGTTCCCAACAGCCGATATTATAGCAAATGATTTATTCCATCTGATGATGCCGATATTGGTAGACAGTGGAGTGAACTTTGTGAAAATAAATATGCAAACTCATTTCTCACGCCCTGGCGTATAATTCACTTACCTCATCACTTTGACTAATAGTCTATTCCTCTCACTTTCCTATTGTCATTCCATTCTCAGTCGATTCAAAAGAAAAATAGAAGAAGATTAGTGTAACGGACAATCTTTCGCGTTTATGTATTAGCAGTTTTTTTCGACGCAACATTTCAGATTGCAAAAAGCTCGCATAATTTTGTGTACAATTGAAAAAGGATTAGAATGACGCTAGCTTTTTGCAATCTGAAAATATGAGTTTAAATTAACTGCTCTTGATTTAAAAAAAAAATGCATGTAAGTACATTGAACCTCAAGCTTAAGCAATTCTTAAGACAAACGTTGCAAACGATTTAAAGATGAATGTGCCATTTTTGAACATTGAACAGTTTGTTTGACTACTACTATGCCATCAGAAGTAGTGAATATATCAAAATACTATAAAAACTTTGTCTTAGCGATATCATGTGCACCCAGTAAAAGGTTTATTGAAATGATTCATCATTTAAACCGATTGTAAACGGCTGATACTCACTTCACTCAAATACCTATTTCAACAGTCATGCTTTGTATAATATTTTTCATCAAGCCACCTTAATTCAATTCATCAACGATAAACTATTTTTATGTCAATTATTGTGGCCAAAAAAGTACAGACTTCCTTCATTTTCAAACAAGTGTGAAATATAAAACACCACACTTCAGCTGCTGTCCTGGTCACTGAAAAGTGGATAATAGCTCAATTTCATTCACTGCTTCTGTTTGTGCCACGGCAAATAACGAGCTTTTAATGACTTTACAGCGAGTATCACTGTGCGCAATGATGATGGCCGCCACCGGGAGAAGCAGCACCGGCAGCTATGGCCACTTAATGTTGTTTTGTTCTGTTTGCAAGTCAACCAAGCCAACCATCCCGTCCTGACTTTCTCAATTCCCAGTGCTTCCACACGGCGATTAGCATCGGAGATCCCATCAGAGGATAGCATCCTTGAGTGTTTTTGTATCTCCTTCTTTTTTACAATGACCACGCGATCTCACCACATTGCAGTGATGTTGTACTTTTTCTGCGAGCTAGCAACTCGTGGTTTCTCGATGACCCCAGAGCAGAAAACGCAAACGAATACAACCATTTGTGGCACGAGATCTAGTGAGTTTCCTCCAGCCAATTGGCCGTTCCACGTGGCACTTTATTACACACTGACCCCGTATCGAATGTACTATCTGTGCGGGGGTACGATAGTGGGTGAGCGAACCGTTATCACCGCAGCTCATTGTGTCATCGGGCAACGGGTGGGGGAAACGATGAACCGCACAATGCTCACAATCCGTGCTGGGATCTATGAGCTGGACGTGGTGCAGAGTCAGAATGTCACATCGTACGGTGTAGGGGCGATAATTTTCCATCCGAAATATGATTCGAAAAATCTGGTCAATGACGTGGCGGTTTTGACGGTCGCCGAGAGCATTGAGTTCAACGCGGTGATTCAACCAGCATGTTTGTGGCCTCCGGAGGAAAGCAGTTTACGCGGAATTCAACGCACTGTCGGTACCGCTATCGGGTGGGGTATTGACGATACGGAGCAGTTTTCGAGAACACTGAAGGAGAGCACCAATCGGTTGCCATCGATGGGAAAGTGCCGGAAGATGTTTGGAAACTTTTTGGACAAATTCAACGGAACGATCCTGTGTGCACGTAAGTCGAGGAAAAACCAGTCAATAAATTAGGACTACACCAAGATTATCTTACTGAGGTCAGCAATATTTTTTACCATAAATGTGCGTCGCACGTAATGAAACGAAAAATATAAAAATATCTTATTTCTTGTCATCAAATCAAGTGTTGAAAGATTTAGAGAAAATGTAAAATTTTTTATTTTTTAGCTGTTCAAAAATTTAGTGTGAAATTACTGAATAGGGAAGCCGTGATTTAGTGTGAATGGTGTATGGGATATAGGTACCAGCCATGGCTATATGGTCATATTATAGTGTGTTCTAATTATGGCTTAATTGGAACAGATTAGAATAAGAACGTATTGCCATAACTGGGACATCCCAAGTAACAATTTTGGTTTTATGAGGGTTCTGTAGACCACGATTTAGACTTGTAGACTGCTATAAATCCGCAGTAAAACCTGCAATGTTACTTGGGATCTCTCCTATGTGATTCCAAACATTCAATTGTACGCTCAGATTGCATTTCTCATGTAGGCTGTATAGCAGTCCTTAAACGTCATTTGAAAAACATTATATTGGCAAGGAGATGATAGTTATGAGGAAGAAGATTCTGTTTAAGACGCTGAGAAGATCTTGTCATGCCATATGATGCGCGCACGATGATTAGATTGATAGAAAATTATTGACTAATTTGTAGATATTCTGCAACAAAATAGAGCGTGATTCAAATAGGCTACGTAAATAGTTTAGAGGGGGTCAATAAACACATTTTTTGTTATGTTTGACCGATTGTCTACACGGTTGTTTGTAATCTTTCAATTCTTGTCTACAGTCATCGGGTTAGATCGTTAGACCGTTAATTTTTTAAATGAGAATTTTTCGTAAGGAATTCAATCTCTTAAACCATTCGTCTTGGTGTGAAAACAAACAATCTGAAATTTGAACTTCGTACGTTAATGTTTAGAGGTCGCTGAATGGATTTATAAGTTGCCTAGTACAAGAGACACACACGCAGTGGAAAGCTCGCAACCGTAGTTAACTACATAGGCACTAGTGTTTCATGACTTCACAATAAATGGGCCCACATGGAATTTTATGCAAAATCAGAGATTTCCATATAAGGTCTGGTATTTCAGACCAAATCAAATAATTTATGAAACATTAATAAAACATTTGAAATATTTGAAATGTTTTTTAGTAATATTGGATCTAGAAATATTTTCGGTGATTTCCATAAAAATATCTGGAACATTAAATAATGTTCAGAATTTTTGTACAATAATAATTAATTCCGATATAGTTTATAAGACAATGATAAGAAAAACACTTTCTTGATTTTATCTCAATGTTTCTAAGCAGTAGCAGGTAAAATTCTGATTTCAATCCGAGGTTAATACCCCGTTCACATTACAGCGCATATCACGTGATATACGCTGTCTTGCAATGAGCACTCATACATCTAGTTTTCACTGGAAATCCTATGTATGAGTGCTCATTGCAAGACAGCGTATATCACGTGATATGCGCTGTAATGTGAACGGGGTATTAAGTGATGGGTGTATTTTTCAGTACTGCATTCATATCGTACAATCTGGGTGACGCGAAGACGGAGTAAGAACCTAACCAATATCGAGCTGTCCACTTTTTCACTCTACTGGTATGAAGAAATGAAAAGAAGTATTACAGTCAATACATATGAAAGTAATTCAAGTAATCCTTAAATCAGTCTTTTATTGCCAAATGATTAATTGTGCTTGTAGCGTCACTTTAAAGAATTTATAAATTTAAACAAATAATCGAAAAGTCATGATTTAGCGTCAAATGCAATTGCTACCAACGGATGGTGATTAATCGATTATTTCATTTTCGACTAAAAACTACAGCTACATTTTGTTCGTATGACCCATTTTATAATAACCCATTTAACTTAACTATGTAAAAAGTATGTAACATAAATTATACGTACACTATCTTCCAGGAACCGGAGTTTGCAGCGGCAGTGGAGGCAGTGGCCTGTACGTGCAGCGAGGCGACCGACTGTTCCTTCGAGGTATTGTGACGTTCGGTCCAACCACTGGACATAGTAAAAAATGTGGCATTGATACGCTCACAGCATTCCTGAACATTGCCCACTACACGGAATGGATTCAGCAGGAGATGCAGCACAGCATCACCGTCAGTGAATGACTTTGTTGTATCATTAAAGATTATGGTTCTTTCACATATTAATATCTTGTAGCATATGCTTCCAACAAAAAGCACGGCAATTTTATTTTATTTTTAACAAATGTTCCTCGAACAACCTAGAGTTCCCGGTCTATTCAATACATTACTTACGGTAATTCCTTGTGAGTGCCAGCGCTTGTTGTTTCAGACCGAAGAAAACATCCAACCGCTAATAATGATGCCAACAAGGGCTCAGGACAGATACAAATTCCAGAAATATGTACGAAAGCATCCTTTCATCGCATTTTGAATCATGAAACGAAAGCCTTTGATATGGCTTACAGATGGTGAAAGAAAGGAAAACCGCTGAAATAACATCATGCCATCATAAAAATAGCTATCCGTCAGACGAGAAGCATGACCGTGGTCGAGCTGTGGTTTTTTTGCTCCCTCATAAATAAAGTTGAATCTTCATCGATGTCCTTCCGGTCCCAGAAAATCTTCGATAAAAGCTTCCCCGAGGAGGACTATCTATACTGCATCGAGCACCACCGAAGGAATGAATGAGAACTGGAGATAGTGAGGAAGCCAAACAAGGCCACACCACATCGGCCATCATAGTGCCAGAGTAAACCAGCGAGCAAACGAAAGGACGAACGAGCGGACGACGTGAATGGGTGGCAAATTTGCATTATCGGGACAGGAAATGAGAAATTAGTTTAATGATTCATGGAAAAAGTTTAATTTGTATGATAAATTGCAGCGGAAAATGTGATCAAGCTGGTGGGCTACGAGAATCGTCGTGTTTCGCTGTCACTTCCCAGTAGTATCGTGTACCGGCGGCTAGCTGAAGCGCATGACGGCCAGTCAGTTTGAGTTGGGATTTCGGTTTGAGAGGAAGTAAGCGGGAAATTCTTTCAAACTTGTCCGACCGATCATTTGAATAAAACATGAATTCATCTTAAATGCCAGGTTAATTTTTGAAAACTTCAGGTCGTTTTCAAATTTTACAAATAGGGTAGAAAACTACTTAGGCAAAAGAGCCTTTTAGCGAGCAGAAAATATCAATTATATCAATTATTTCAACATTTGGTACGATACTAAAGCTTAAAAGTTTTAATTACAAAGTCTATTAGAACACACTATGAATTAATATTTACATCCATTCTTCACAAAGACAAAAAGAAGTACTCTTGCCTCATCAGTATGCCGAATTGGATGGAATTTAAACCCGTTTGACGAATTTCAAATTCAGAAGCAGTGATAGATAAAAAAAAATTGGAATAAGACTACGTACACTTTATGAAAACCGACAAATGAAATTACGAAAGATTTTGAACGTTAATAACTTAGCTGCCCCTGGACCAATTTCAAAACAATTATCACCAATCGATCAGAAACATTTCTACGCATCGATAACAATGTTTTTGACTGTTGTTTTTTAATTGAAACTATTGAAAAAGTGGTAAACTTCAAGCATTGTCCAAAAGCTTCGAAATAACTAACAAATGCACCAATTACGTATATGCATATGCTGCTTCCTCTACACATTCATCAGAGAATGGTTCCTAGATGTAACAAGTCGAAGTGACATTTACCTCCGATCTTCGGGCGTGTACGAATAGGGAGGATGCAATTGCGGAACATTTTGCTGCCAATTCAGAACCACACGCCCCCAACGACCACACAAAATGTTCTCTGTTTTTTTTAACTTGGATTTGTTTTCCGTCGATCTTGTTTTCCATGCTGAACACCTGCTCACCTGAACCCTACCTATCGACCCATCAACTCATGAACTGGGAACCAACGGCTTTACTTCCCTTCCGAAGGAAGGCGTGATCAGAGATGTTATGCCTCAAAACATCCCGGAGGCGCTGACTGGGATTGAACCCAGGTAATTACACTTACCGCTTACCGCTACACCACCGGCGCCGATGCTCTCCAGAGGTGTAATCCTGTAACCAAACTTTTCAGGGCCACCAATGTTACGTTGGTGATAAGTTTTAACCTCCGAAACCACACAGAGTGCGTCCCTGTCGCTTCAGAGCGTAGACGACATCCATGGCCGTGACGGTTTTGCGCTTGGCGTGTGCAGTACAGGTGACGGCATCACGGATCATAATTTCTAGGAACACGTTCAGCACACCTCGGTTTTCCGCGTAGATCAGATCGGAGATACGCTTGACACCACCACGTTGAGCCAGACGACGGATGGCAGGTCCTGGATGTTCTCACGCAGAATTTCCCAATATCGATAAAACTGCATCATCATGACTGTATGTAGCCAATGGGAAGCGAGAAAATATGGTACCGGCAGAGCTGGTTGTCTATATAACAGTTTTCTAACTATGCTTTTGGCTTGAGACAAAGCTCTTGAAAAAGAAGGCGCCAAGCGTCATCGGAAGGTTCTGCGTGATAACATCCAGGGTATTACCAAGCCTACCATCCGTCGTCTGGCTCGACGTGGTGGTGTCAAGCGTATCTCCGGTCTGATCTACGAAAAAACCCGAGGTTTGCTGAAGGTTTTCCTAGAAAAATCCGTGATGCCGTCACCTTCACTGAACACGCCAAGCGCAAAACCGTCACGGCCATGGATGTCGTCTACACTCTGAAACGACAGGAACGCACTCTGTACGGGTTCGGAGGTTATCATTGTATGCATTCTCCTGCTGCGCGACATCTTCAAAATCGTCTGAACTGTTAAACCTGGAAAGATAGAGCTGGATAACAGCTTTTGTAAACAATGACTTCTCTCGAAGATTTCTAAGAATTCAAGGCACGCCCACGCAATCCAATACAACCATCGGGTAGGGAAAGTCTTCCTCTACCCGATGGTCATGCTGATTTGCGTGGGCAAGCCTTGATTTTGTAGAAATTAATGAGAGAAATCATTGTTTACAAAAGCTGCTACGCCCTAATTTCAGCTCTATCTAGAAATAATACAGAGTACAGAAAGTATAGACTTAAAGTACAGAGAGTACAAAAGGAGAGGAGCCAATGTCGCTACTTGAGAGCAAACTACTCATGATGGGAGGAGTCTGTGTACTTTACCGGCTTGTTCAAAAAGAAAGGCAATCAAAATTTCAGATTCAACATTCTCTGCTTACACGTCAAGCAGTTGAGTTCGGTCTTTGCTCGCTTTGTCGAGTTGTTCGATTAATCTATAGTTTGTTACAAACGTTTGCAGATATACTGCACGTCGCGTCGTCAGTAGTGTCGGTCGCATCGCGTGATGGGAAGACAGCGCTCTCGGAGCCGACTTCGTGAACAAGCGGAGAAGAAGAACAGTGGTGAGGGTAGCTCGGTACCTACCTCAAATAGGTACGCTACTCTGCCCACCGATGGAAATACCAACCCAGTCCCGGTGAAGCGGACGAAAAAGAGGAAGAAGAACCAAGGTCAGTCCGATGGTACGAGCGGACGCGACGATGTTACCGCGACGAACGCCAGCGACATCGGTGATTTCGGCGACACCGTCGAAACCGAGAATTCTGCCGGCCCGAGTACGGCGAAAATCAAGCTTCCTCCACTGGTGGTGAAGGTAGTGCCACTCAAGACGCTCATTGGCGATTTCGCATCGCTGGGCATCGCAGCTGAGTACAAGATCAGCAGGATCGGCACTAAGGTGATGCTCCGGACGAAAGCGGAATACGAAATCGCAGTCAAATTCCTGAAGGATTCCAATGCGGAATACTTCACGCACGACATCCCCGGTGAAAAGCCCTTCAAGGTAGTCATCAGGGGTCTACCGGATGTTGATCCCAAGGCGATCGAAGAAGAACTCAAGGACCGGTACAAGCTGGCCCCAATCGCTGTCTTTCGGATGACGAGGCGAGACGAAAACGTGAAGACGTACCCGGATTGTCTTTTCCTGGTGCACTTTCAGAAGGGAACGGTGACGCTGAATGCGCTGCAGGCTATCCGATCAATCTACTCCATAATCGTACGATGGGAGCCATACCGTGGAGGCCATCGCGATGTGACCCAGTGCCAACGATGTCTGAACTTTGGACACGGCACTCGCAACTGCAACATCAAGCCACGTTGTAGCAACTGCGCTCAAGAACACGCCACTTCCAACTGCCCTGCGGATGGAGCCGTGGCGTTAAAATGCGCCAACTGTGGTGGTGCTCATCAAGGTTCCGACAGACAGTGCTCCAAACGCGAGGACTTCAAACGCATCCGAAAACAGGCGGCAACTAACAACCAACCAGGACGCAAGAAGGACAAAGTCCCGGCATTTCGGACGGAGGATTTCCCGCCCCTTCGTGCTCCTCAGCAAAGGCAAGTGAATTCGCGGGTGCATTCCGCTCAAGCAACTTCCGGTGATTCTGCTGGCCAAAGCTCTCCATCCCCCCCTGGATTCTGGAGACAACCAACAGCGCAAAACAACAACCCCGATCTGTTCTCAGCGGATGAACTGATGGAAATCTTCGTCAACATGTCCGGTGCTCTTCGTAAGTGCCGCAATAAGCCCGAACAGATCCAAGTGCTCGGTAAGTTCATCATCCAGTATGGCGTCTAAACCGCTAAGTATCGTCACCTGGAATGCTTGCTCTGTAAGAGCAAAAAAGATTGAGCTTGCCGACTTCCTCCGCAAGCACAGCATCGACGTGGGTCTTCTAACCGAGACCCATCTAAAGTCCGGCGACAGCTTCTGGTTGCCTGACCACAACATTATCCGGCTTGATCGCACCAGCTCCAGGGGGGGTGGTGTTGCGGTCGTCGTCAAGAAAGGAATAAAATACCACACTCTGTCCCATATCCGCACCACTATCATCGAGGCCCTTGGTGTGGAGGTGGAGTCGTCGACTGGATACGTCCAGTTCATCGCCGTCTACTGCCCTCGACAGTGTGCCGCCAGCAGTGGACTAGCGGCTAAATTCAAGAAGGACCTGTCCACCATCACCCGTACCGGTTCCCGCTTCGTAGTTGGGGGAGATCTGAATGCTCGCCATGAGGCCTGGCGGAACTACCAGCAGAACCAGAACGGTCGTCTCCTGTTCGAC